TTATGCTCTACATCTTGACATCCATATCAGAGCAAATACCCGATTGTAATCAAGATGGTGAGTTTCTATCGAACACAAGGTTCCTAGCATTTGAGGAAATTTGATTTTCAGGTTCCGAAAGCTACATGGAGTGGCATGTCTTTGAGGTAAGCATACGCTGTACATGTTGACATCCTCTCTACTTCAAATGCTTTTAACAAAATTTTATGGTCTCTGTGTCTATTCTTTTTGCACCTATGGTGTAGAAATATAGGTGTGGGTTTGGTGATATTGGAATCTTGAAACACTTATAATTAATTTTTGTAGGAAAGAGTGGCCAGAGGCAGGAAAAATGATGCTCACCAACCTCATCCGATTGAATTGAAGCCAGAAAGGCCTCTTTCAAATATTTATATTTTCGCTAGAATTTTTGGTTATAATTTATTACTCCCTTGACAGTGGATGTTGATATCAAATTTTACGTCCCTATCCTTTTTGAAGGCATTTAATATGAATTCAAGGATGATGTCGATAGGGCACTGGAACAAATCAAAATAGAAATATATGTATTGCTACTCGTGTATTTTTTTTTTTGGACATGACGAAGAAGATCTTAAGCAATAATGGGAATTAACAACATATTAAATTAGATAAATTTCACCTAATCATGTGTTAAATGCAATTTTCCTAAAATTTTATAGAGATTAAATGTTAATTATGGCCACCAACTCTTTATTCACATCTTATTTGACTCAAATTCGTTCAACTTTTCACCAAACTTCTACCAAATCCTTAATTGCCAAGTGGCTCCAAAAGGCACTGGAGATACTGTTAGCCCTAGGATTTTATCAGCACAACATCTGACGGACGCAATCAATTAAAAATTCCACCTAGCAATAGCGATGGGCCCCATTAACTACTTTCTGGGTCCACTTCACCAACCCCGACCGGGTTGGCGGAGCGGTCCAACTCTCCAACCACCACTGAGGAATTATCATTGCAGGTCTGAACCGGAATAACCTGTCTATATATTACTCGTCATTTCATCTCCTGTATTAGGCCAAGCAGCCAGCATAATTCGGAAATTTAAGAATCATTCAGAGAAGATTTGAACAATGGCAGAAAGTGGAGAATCAAAAGAAAATCAGGGCGGAAGGCACCAAGAAGTTGGGCACAAGAGTCTTTTGCAAAGTGATGCTCTCTACCAGGTATATACAATTTTATGCTGGTTTGGCTTGAGGTGGTGACTTATTTGAGAACACTGATGTAAAAATTTTGCTACTTTTTGGAACTTCGTACGCTTGAATTGCTCGTTTGAGTTTTTTTTCGAATGTTTTTTCTCGTTGCTGCAGTATATTCTTGAAACTAGTGTGTACCCAAGGGAGCCAGAGGCGATGAAAGAATTAAGAGAATTGACAGCTAATCATCCATGGTGAGAATTTAAGTTTTGGATAAACACGTAATTAATTTTCCTTAAGATTCTGATATTAGTGTTAAATTAATTCTGGGTACAGGAATATAATGACAACCTCTGCTGATGAAGGGCAGTTTTTGAATATGCTCCTCAAGTTGATCAATGCCAAAAACACCATGGAAATTGGAGTGTACACAGGATACTCTCTCCTGGCCACAGCCCTTGCACTTCCAGAGGATGGAAAGGTAAAATAATTACTCTCGACCCCGAAAATGAACAAAAGTAAAGACAACATACTTAGACAAACAGTAAGTCGCGCGTGACCTTCTCAGACGTGGGGAAGGACCTGTGATCTGTTGGCTACGTCACCTCTACAAAAAAGGAGGTCAACAAATGTAATTCTTAATGAAAAAAGAAGTGATTAATATTGTTTCGGCTTGTTAATGCAGATATTGGCAATGGACATCAACAGGGAGAACTATGAATTAGGTTTGCCTATAATACAAAAGGCTGGTGTTGCTCACAAAATTGACTTCAAAGAAGGCCCTGCCCTGCCTGTTCTTGATCAAATGATTGAAGATGTGAGTTTTTACCAATTCTCTAACCATCGTTTGTTTCTCTATATACGAGTTTACTCACAATTTTATCGAATTTTTGTATATAGGACAAGTTTCATGGAACATTTGATTTTATATTTGTGGATGCCGACAAGGACAACTACATCAACTACCATAAGAGGCTGATCGAGTTGGTGAAAGTTGGTGGATTGATTGGCTACGACAACACCCTGTGGAACGGGTCGGTGGTGGCGCCACCAGATGCACCGTTGAGGAAGTACGTCAGGTACTACCGGGACTTCGTCTTGGAGCTCAACAAGGCCCTTGCAGCTGATCCAAGGATTGAGATTTGTATGCTTCCAGTTGGTGATGGAATCACTTTGTGCCGCCGTGTCAGCTAAGTGAAATTATTAATTATTTTTTCAAGATTTTCATTTTCTTTTCGTATTTTGAATTTGTGATATGTATTTGTATCTCGTTTGAATAAGAAAAGAAATATAGTATTGTACTGAAATACTACTTATTGCTACTTGATCCTTTTTTTATTGGGAAATTGGCTCAAATGGTCCAATTTTGTGTTTTTGGTCTAAACCTTTCAAAGTTGGCACAGATGGTCCCAAATCTTTGCACTCTTAGCACATTGGTCATTTTGATTGGATTCCGTCCAAAAAGGCCATTAGTTTGGCTTTGCATACGTAGTCCCAACTTTAATAAAAGTAGCAATTCTCTTCCTAACCAATTTTTATATTATTTTTGTAAAGTAAACCCCTTTTACTAATATATTATTCCCTCCATCCCATTTATATAAGTTGACTTTCCTTTTATTTTTGTCTCAATTATACAGTTTTATTTCTTTATTGAGAATGTTTTATTTTGTTCGTTTACTAATATACTCTTATTTAATTTGTTTAGTTATAATTAATTTACTACTAGTTGTTGATAATTAATTAGAGAGTAAATTAGGAAAGCTTTTGACAAAAATTACTTGTTCAATAATATTAAATAAAATTTCTTAATTTGTGTGAAAAACAAAATCAGTCTATATGAATGGGACTGACGGAGTATTAAAAAGACAAATTTATCTTTATCTTTAAATAAAATATAATTAAGGGCATGCTTGGTATATTTTTATTGAGAATAAATGTTGTGATATATGTTTTCTTTTAAGAACATGTGATTAAAAAGTAGGAAAAATTATGAATTTACTTGCAAAATTATTTTATTGAAATAATGAGTGGTTGAAAATAAGATTGAGAAAAAAATGAGTTTTAAAAAATTCATACCGAAACTAAATAAAATACAAAAAGAAAAAGGAAAAAAAACAAAATATGTCTTCTTTCAAGCAACTCATTGAATCACCATCATTATCATTCCCCTAATTTTTCTCCAAACTCATTATTGAATCAACAACGTGAATTTTCCAAAAGACCCATCAAATTTTACAGCATCTCGTGGTGATCTCTTATGTAATTTCGTAGATTTCCTATTGATTTACTCGCTTATTTCAATGAGAATTGCAGTCTGCAGACACATCTTTAGGAGTGGGATAAGGCCGACAAAAACATTGTTGGCAATGAGGAGAAAGGGATAAAGTAGGCTAGAAGAAGATAGATAGAACTATAAATGAAGGAATAGACTAGTTCCAAATTGAAGTAAATGAATGCAAGACCTAAAAATAGAAATGAAAAGAATGATAATACTATGAATAAAAAGATGGTTTATGTCAGAATAGGTGGATTTTTTGGATGGATTTAGGCATGGATGGTGTTGGCTGTTTTGCGGTTAAGAATTTGGTGATGCAACTATTTGTATCATTGGCCCTAGGTTCAATCAACTTTGAACATAAACATTTAATATATATAATCGAGTCATAGTTATGGCAATATCTATTATT